GAAGAGCAATCTCCCTCTGGGACAAGTCTGAACCCCAGCCGACACCATCAGCACCGTCACCAGTCGCACCAGCTGCACCAGCTGTCCCCGTTGCGCCCTCAGGATCCGTCGACGCAGCCTCAGCATCCGCTTCATCCATCCCTCCTCCCGCACCGGCCGCACCTGTCGCACCCATCGTCCCCGAGGCCGCCGCCCCCTCGACCTCTTCCCTCCCCGAGCTCGACGCCGCCTCCCTCCTCGATCTACCCGAACAAATCGGCTTCCTCAAGACCCTCGGTCTCGACTTCGGCTGGGGCCCCTCGAGCGTGATGCAATGGGCCCTCGAACATGTCCACGTCCTCTCCGGCATGCCTTGGTGGGGTTCCATCGCCGCGACGGCCATCCTCCTCCGTCTCATCATGTTCAAGCCGCTCCTCAAGTCCCAAGACACCTCAGCGAGGATGCAGAAGCTCCACCAGGATCCGGCCTATGACGAGACCCGCAAGGCGATGCAGGAGGCCATGGCGAGCGGTAACTCGGCCGCCATGACTGAGGCCCGTCGCGACCTGTCCATGCTGAACAAGCGCGCCGGCGTGAACCCCCTCAACGCCTTCTGGGGTCTCCTCCAGATCCCCTTTGGATACGGCATGTTCCGTGTTCTCAACGGCGCTGCCAGCATCCCCGTCCCCGGCATGGAGACTGGTGGTTTCCTCTGGATCACGGATTTGACCGTCTCTGACCCTTACTTCCTCCTGCCTATTGCCGGTCCCGTGGCCATGTTTGCCATGGTTAAGGTACGTGAAACCTAGGCGACCCAGCTTGCTTCGACCTGGATGCTAACATGTCGACTTTCAGCTCGGCTCCAAGTACTCCACGCCTCAAGCCAAGGCCCAGCAGAAGCTGATGATGTACATCCTCGGACCCCTCTCCGTAATCTTCACCTCGTACCTCCCCGCCGGCGTCCAGTTCTACTTCTTCATCACCGGTCTCATCGGTGTCGCCCAGAACTGGCTCTTCTCCAAGGCCGCCTTCCGCTCCCTCTTCAACCTCACACCGATCGCCACACCCGCCCCTACCATCGGCACCACAGCCGGCCCGACCAGAATCTCTTCCGGTCCCACACGTCTCAACTACCAGGCCCCGCGCTCGACTCCTGCCCCCGCAACCCCTGCGGCTGACGCCGGCAGCATCAAGGGCATTGTCGACAACCTGAAGCAGACCGTCCACAACGCAAAGGGCGGTGCCGGGAACCACCTCGAGGCCGGCCGCAAGCGCGAGGCGGAGAAGGCTGCCAAGAAGTACGCTGAGCAGAGAGGCGAGCAGGAGAGACAAAAGTTCTGGAGCGAGACGCGCAAGAAGTAGATGATTGCGTTCTAGGGGTGTTTTCGCTGGTGATGAATTCCAGGTGGTTGGAGAGCATTGACTGGGGTCACCGTACCTTTGCACTTGTAAAATATCGAAAAGAAGACGGACGGAAAACTCCCGACTTTTGTGGAAGAGAAGGAGTTTTCAGATACTGTACCATATGGGTGTAGAACAAAGACAAATCATCTGGGTACCATGCTGCCACAACGCAATAATAGAGAATCACTCTCCCGAATGCCATGTCGCCAGTCACAGTAAGGTGCGGCTGACGATGCACAAGCAACACGCCGAGCTACATTTCTAGGACCCCAACTACCTCTCGGTCAGTTTCTCATCTTAGAGCGGAGGTATGTATGCCAATAATATGAAGCCTTGAAGCCACATTGTCGTCCGCATTCAGATGCGACACGACTGATACAATACCCAATCCTTCCTGGCTCTCGACGTCTCATGCATTTGAATATTACCAAGGCGCATACTTTCGATACTCGAGAGCTATTCCTGGGTTGCGTAATACTCACAGAGGGTAAGAAAGGTCGTCCGTAGGGAACCAAAAGTTTTGGGCAAAGGTTAAGGGTGATCAAGGAAGAATGGATTCCACCGGCGCCTCCTTAACCACTTGACCACCTGCCCCTTTCGCTTGTGACAATAGGGAAGGAGAAGACACCCAAGAACCATCCTCTCTCCTTCCTACTGAGTACCTTAGGTAGGTAACGAAGGTTGGGAGAGGTAGGGGGGCCTACCTAAGGTACCTATTAGTCGTGCCTGCCTCCCGTCGGTGACCGTACCTGCCTCGACTTAGAAATCGCGCCGCTGATGGGATGGTTCTTTCCTAGTCTCCTATGACTTGACTGGTACTTACCTTGCCTTGCCTTGTATCCAGATCGAGGTCGCTCTTTCTTCAACCAAGCCCAATCGATCCCCACAGTCGAGCGGTATAACGCCCTGGTCCGTTAGTAACGAACTTGGTATGAAATCTCGAGAAGTCTCAATAGATGGAGGATTTCGTAGGGGGTCCAGTTCAATTCACGAACTGGGCACCTGAGCTTTTGCCTTTTTTGCCCCTTTTGATATTAATACATAAGCCATTCGTGGCATTGGCCAGTGAGGTAGGTCGACTGTATTTGTCTCCTGATTCCTGCCGTGCCTCGTTCTTTACTCACACGCGAATGTTCCGTGCTTCATCTAAGGAGAATATCTTTGGTCTTTGCTCACGAGAATTTGATGCCCGTGATTCATTCACCGCTGTGAGATACCCATCAGCATAGATGGCCCGCCAGAAGAGATGTTTTCACATTACCTCGCCGATAGATAATAGGAACTTGGAGTCATGGATGTTTCTGCACACCTCATCTAGTCCCAATTCAAGTACCAAGACTCGTCAACTTCATGTTCGGGCCCGTGGCCAAGTTTCACATCGGCCCAGCTCCATTCGATAGGCATGCGGACGGACGTGGCGCCTCTGGCCTTGAATTGTGTGTACTGACGTCGTCACAGTAGCCTGCAGATCGCAGGCTTCTCTGGCTTTCGGCGTCTTGCCGAAGATAGCCGTCATGATACATCTATGTCGAGATTCCATGTTCATTCCTGGTCGTCCGAATAACGACTACATGTCACTGACAATTCAGGACGACCATAGATGAAAGGGCATCGCCGAAAAGCGTCACCTGGTGATATCATTGCCCCTCCCCCTTTTCTCGCCCAACCGTTCTTAGATGAAAGCTGTTTTCCTGTCGGTATGGATGCTTGAACATACTTTTCCTGGGCCGAGAAATCATATCATGGGCACAAGAGTGGGACGTGACGAGAAAGGCATCGGCAGTGGTTCTCCCTTCAACTTGGAGCTGCGTGACTTTATCTTACCAGACTCAGCGATAACCCAGCAGATGCTCTGGGATATGAATGTGTAAGAAAGCACCTCACCGAGACAAGGGCATACTACAAGGCACCTGCCGCTAGACCAGACACTATCAGGTAACCAGCATGGCAATCGACTGCCCGAGTCACACTCGTCATGAAAACCAAGTATAATATTCACAGCAGCTCAAAATAATCGAATCATTAGACAACACCTGACAAAAGAGTTCACCCCCCCGGTGCCGATTTGGGGGCTACATCTCTGGCGCACATGCTGGGATTCGAAGTCGGGTACTCGCTAAGCCTGTCGTCGAGTAGGCTGGTTGGCGTTAAAGCTGAATGTCGACCATGAACCATTCCACCACCCACGCCACAGTTTGACCTGACCCCCGACCTAGAGGGCGCCTGCTGTGCTGGTGACAGAATTGGACTTGAGGGGGGGTATATACCCTTCTCCTGGTGGCCAATGGCCTAGTGTAGAGGGATGGTATGAGATGAATATACGGGGCGGAGACGGGATCGTGGTCCCTCAGGGTGCTGGTGGTGATTGTTTTGGGTACCCGGCGCGTCACCTGGGCAACCCCTCCTACCTCGCTCCTTCCGCGGCAGTCGGCCTACTTTTTCCCCTCGCTACGTGGTATCTAAAGTGATGACATGGCAAGGAGCTTTCAGTTGATCGATGTTCCAGGTCATTCACTACGACCGTCTTCTTCATGGGCCACCTTGATGTCCGCCTTCAGCAAACAGACTACCGGACCTTCTGGCATTTCGATCAAAGGCATTGCAGAGACTTAGTTCACAATGGACGGTAATCCAAGTCCTCATCATTGTTGGATATCAAATGGAGCAGAGGCTTGACGAGTCGCCGAAGGCCGATGATTATGTTAATTAATGGGTGACCTCCATCAATGATACTAGATTAGGTAATTAAAATCATAGGGAGGAGACATGATAACCATAGCCATTCCCTTTATCTATTCTTGGCCCATTCACTTCCCAGCGTAGGAGAGCAAGAATGTGTAGGCTGCTCCTTATATGTTGGGCCTGATATCTCCAAGTCTCCTCATCGCAACCATAAATGTGCAACAATAAGAGAAGAAACCAATCAGATTCTTTATTAACCCCTGGCTGGTAAGCTCGCATATGAAACTTGCACCACCTCTCGACTCTCTCTGCGGCGACTTTGCCCTTGCATCATGACGACTTGAGGTTGCGAGATTCGCAGCAAGACGATCGTGATGAGGCTGATGTGGTATATCAAGAGGAGTTACCCCGACTCTGAAAGCTGGCTTAGGGGCACTCGTAATCAGATTGACCAAGGCAGTCAGTCATTCAGTGTGGGGACCGTGACATGGCAGACCGTCATTTCCAGCTCTAAATGGCCATGCTCTATCAGCTGTCTCAGGCCAGAATCAATTTCATCACTACCTAATGATTCCCATCAAACAAAGTTTCTTGTCGATTTCATTCAAGTCGATCCCATAACACCCAAGTCCAGAACACAGTGATATCTCCAACGTTGAGGGAAGAAGGGCGCCCTGGTGACATACCTCCATTCTGCGTCGACATTAACCTTCGTCTGGTCGTTCCGTCACTCCTAAAAATAGCGACAAGTTCGTCGGAACTCAACTCCACTTCGGCCGGCAGCGGTCGGCTCCGACCTCCACCGCAAGGGACCTCCCGTCCCGACCCACCCTACCAAAGCCGTTTGCAAATTTTTGCAACCCTCAATCCACAACACCAGCGCGCTCGCGCAGCCAAGGATGCAGAAACTGGCACTTGCTTTCAACAAGTTCCCTGGTCTGGTGGTGTAGTTGGTTATCACGTCAGTCTAACAGTACGAGAGTCTCGTTTCTCTCGCCTCTGCCCACACTGAAGGTCTCCGGTTCAAGTCCGGGCTAGATCATACCACGGGCGATTGGTTTAGTGGTATAATGACCGCTTAGCATGCGGTAGGTCCTGGGTTCGATTCCCAGATCGTCCATATTTTGACTATTTTGTCACTCATAGTGATTTTTGTGGGCGTGGAATTTGGTTCTGACCGTCCGCAAGGCGTGAGTCGATGCCATCGCGCTCCCTGAAGCCCGGATTGCCATGGTGAAAAGGCACTCTGAGACTTTGACGGGAGTATGTATGGGTAGAACATATCCTGGCACCGAGTGCTCTGATGACTGGTCGTTGTCCTGATATCAAAGGGTTTGTTCACATGGCATCCTGTCATGATCCCTAAACCCACACCGTGGTGATCGACGACACCAAGGTCTGAGCTCCTTCCGGCTACAAGTGAGACATGGTCTAGTGACGACGTCAAATGTCCCAAGCAATAGACTGGGCGTTCGCCGAATGACCGAACAACGTCAAATTGGACCGGTGGGCGAACGCCGAACACATTTGGTCACTAAACTGGCAGATCTTCTCCCCGGTGATCGTAGGGTCGCGCCGACCGGTGACTAGTTACTCATCGTGTTGGATATGTCTCACAGGCTTTGCACTGGCCAGCCATGCCAGCGCCGCATACGAATGGGTCAACTGCCGGCATGGAATACAGCTGATCTCACAAATGCGCAATGTCATAACGGAGTAGGTACTTGGGAGTGAGCGCCATCGACCCAGACCCTCGGTGCGCTCAGCATGGCCACCTCGTGGCAGCGTCGCGCAAGGCGGAGTTTTCTCCGGAAACGTGTTAGAGGAGGCGTGCGCCCTCGCCAACCAGCAAGCCTCTTTGCGTGTTCGAGATGGGCTTAGCAGGGAGGCGAAAAGGAGGTCCAGCTACCCAGCGAGATGACCCGAAAGCAGAAATATCGTCGACAGAGAGGAAGGCTGGGAGCGGAGCCATGCTGAATTGCGCATGGGACAAAGAACATGGCAAAGTTCAACAGGCGATTTTAAATTGAAAGATTGGTTTTGCAGCTTCCCTTTCAGGCTAGCCGCCTTCGGTCTGGGGCTCTTCTTCAAATTCGAGAAGCTGGGCCATCCTTGGGGGCCGGGTCCAGGGCAACACTGAGCATCCTTGGGTCTAAGCTCCTCGATGACCGGGGGCCATGGGCGGCGCCGGGGATGGGAGCATTGGAAGGATGGAGGAGGAGTGCAGTGGGCCTGATCATACTCGGTGTGGTGAAGAAAGTGGCACGAGCCGACGAGCGACACTGAGTTCGGTCTACCAGATGTCATGATACGAAATCGTCTCTGTGCTGCTGCGTTGAGAGCCCAGCAGCAAAAACCATGCCAGGCTATCGTGCCGCAAACAAGGACTGTCCTGTTCTGTCGTTGAATTTGGCGTCCACCGAGCAAGCTGTCAAAATCAACGCCAAGCGCGGTCGGATCGACGTGTTTCCACCACGGAGGGATCCTCTTTGAAGGTCCTGAGCGCAAGTGAAAGCCAGAGAGACATGACCTCAGTAGGCAATAGGGGCGAAGCTCCATCACCTTACGGAGGAACAAGATGATCAGGAGTCAATCATCATGGTCCTCTCACCTCGGCTTCGTAGTCCGCTTTTGCAGAAACTGATATTTGAGACGTCTATTTGCTGCTGAGCAAACGCCCAAGGGTCCGGATGTCCGTGCTTGTGCCGAGAACACGAGGCAAAGTGCGCACGAGTCTCCTTTCATCCCGGTCTCGACTCGTTTTTGTGCTTTCAAGTCCGTCCCTTGGAGTTTGTGGCGTCTCATGCGTTGGCTGGCAGTTGGTTGGTTGATGCGCGTTCTAGGAACGTAGTTGACTAATTGTGCCTCCATGAAACCCCCAAAGACGAGGTAGAAGCTCCATGGCTCTTTTGAACCGCGCGAGGCCGCGGGCCGTGGTAGAAGAGGTGAAGCCGTCGTGCCTAGCGTCACAGAGCATTCGGTAGAGAAAGCAGGTGCTTGTTGCAATCAAGGTCCTCGATGCGACGGTAAGTTGCTAGAGTCTGTCTGCGCATGCACATCTCGATGGGACCTTGCGCTGTGCCGCAGATGTACTTTGTACGAATACTTGGTTGCCAGTGTATACTGTGGTGCAGGCTTTTAGCCAAAGGAATTGGCCAGTTGGCTCATTTCCGGGAACAGCTCGCTGCGGCCCGTGGTCCAATGCCAAAACGTTGCGAGGCACCACTAGACCAAATGGGCTGCCAACTGTCCACAAGTATTACCATGCGAACGTCTGAAGTCTGCTCTGTGGCTCCCAACTTTCAAGTCTGTAGAGCGGCGCACTGCGGCCTGCAGCTAAAGTCCGGGCCATTCCAGAAACGTGCACAGTCTCCCGTACCTTGCAGACTTCGGCTGCACTGCAACACAGACCGGCCATCCTCCCATCCCACAGAGCCCAGGTCCCTGGTAAGGATACCGTCAGTTTGAACTTTCCAGGCTTCCAGAGACGGCAGAAGAAATTTTTTGACATTCTTTGGGAGGGAACCTCGAGGGTACTCCCTACCGGGCCGTTTGCTTTCCTGCTTGCCTGTCCGTAAGCCCGAGTGTCGATTGCGCTCAGCTGCAGGACCAAGAAGCCGAAGTGAGATGGACCTGGGACTTGCATGTGTGCGTGGCGGCCGACGTTGCATCTGGGACTCGGGAGCAAACAACCTCCTCCTTTGTCAACGTCCACCGTCCACGAACCAGAATGGCAGACATAGGTGGAGAAGGGGTAACGGCGAGCCGGCGACCAACTCTAGGCAGCTGATTTGTATGAATTCTCTTCTCTCGACCTCGGTTCGGAGTACGGTTATTTCGCAGCTTTCTCGTTGCTTGGCCCTGTGCGAAGACGCGTTGCGAGTGATTGGCTGGGGACTTTACGGGACAGAACCAGACTGGAGCTGGCTGTGATCCGTACTGCATAGGCATTCAGCAGCCAGGCCATCACATTTTCGACCAACCGAAGTAGCGAAGCAGGCAAGTAGGCAAGCGTGCGCCGTGGCTGATGGACTGGAGAGCAGGATGCGGTTCCGAGATGCCGGCGACGCTCACAAACGACGATGGTGGTCGACCTGATACGGTGGGCGCATGTAGGTAATGCATGCCGTAAGGACGTTTAGCAGGTGGGCTTTTATTGCTCTCCGCGCCGCGATGTGATTTTCTGCCACGCCTGCAACCCCCCCCCCCCTCCAATGTTGGTTTCCACGACTTTGTATTGTTGCCAGCTTGCCATGGCAGCAATCGACTCGTTGAGGACCACTAGAAGTCGACATTGCCCCAAGAATCCAACGAATCATGGTCGTCATGGAGCGTGATGAGCACACAGGTGACACAGCGAAGTCGAGGAGCATACTGGGCTGCAGGCAGCGGCTAACTCGCTACAGTAGTGTAGAGCTAGGCGTTTTCTTGTGTGCTTGGGCACGTTTTCCCCTCGGCCTCTAGAGCCCCATGGTGGTCGGTTGTTGCGTTCCACTGGTGACTAGGGAGCTTTTCGTAGCGCCCCCGGCTTTGAATATGGGACCTATGGAACGATCGTACCATGATTACAGCTCGACTGGAGTCTGTCCATAGAAAGCATGGATGGGCATAGAAAGAAGGAGAGAAAATCTCGACGAAAAGCATCGGTTGCCAGGCTCTGTCGTAGCACGTCTGTCGATCACACTGTATGGGTACGGCAGCCGTCATTGGGGCGTTGTAGCCAGTGTCATGGATCGTGGCCCTCTATTGGGGCGCCGCAGTGTTGATATGACTTGTCGCAGTCTCGCAGATATGAGGCGTGGTTGAGCAACGAGGAGCATGATGATGCTGCAGTAGCAAGAGTCAAGACATTGTTCATGACCCGCCGGGAGTGATTCCGGTGGGGGGTCCCTTGCGTGATGAGGCGCATGCAGAAGAGATGAGGTCCCTTGGAGGCTGGCTGGAGAGTAAGCCTTGGGTGCAGGTGAGGGACTGAATCAGTTGGTGATTTGCAGAGGTGGGCCAGATCAGCAGTGAGGTCGCAACGATAGTGGTGTTGGTCGTTGTTGGTGGCGTGGTGATTGAGGATGACGATGGACGGGTGGGTGGTGTTGATGGGATGGTCCATGGATGATGGATGGATGGGTATCCGTGAGGTGATGATCTGGGGAAGATGACGGCAGCAAAAAGACACTGTGAAGACCTCGGTCAATCGGTCTGTGCATTCATTGAGGTGACGGAATGTGCACAAGCGCGGTCACTGGTGGCTTCCCTCGGGCGTTGATGCCATGTGTCTCAATGTGGAAGCCAAAGGCGCCTCAATATTTTGGGAGTCTTGCGGTAAGGCAGAGATGAGTAACGGACATAACGACTTGTTTGACCATCACATGGGGTCTGGAGTATGCACCTATCTTTTCATCTGGGAATGAACAGCGAAATGGAAGAAAATGCCCATCTGAATCGGAAGATGCGTTGAGAGGTCAGGTATGGAAGGCACGGATACCTGGACACTCAGGAAAGATACGTAGAGACTGAGGCAAGTACTAAAGTAAGGTACCCTGAATGTACACTACTTCGCGGGACAGGTGTGGAACCGCAAGCCTTCCGCCTGTTGGCCAGACCGTCCGGTGTTCAATTGTCCAAAGTCCGCGTTGGTGGAGCTGAGGGCCCACCCTGGCCGGGGCTGTCTAGCGGGCTGCAGACATTGGACGACACTTTTTTCGCTTAATTCCAATCCAGTGGCTCCATGCATTGAAAGCTTGAGAAGAATCGGAACAGACACACTGTGGCAGCTTCTCAGGTACAGTGATCAAGTGGAGACTCTCTCCATGTCCGAGCATCTTGAGCCTCGTACCTCGAAATTTCGACATGGGCCCTCTGCGACTCGCGAGTCTCTAGGTATTTGCAGACGGCAGCAAACTTCCATGACAACTCAACTCGAGATGTACAGTTACCAAGGCCTTTCTATGGAGTATTGATTGGTGGATATGCGTGGATGCAGACACAAGACGGTAAAGTCCCTCATTGCATATTGGTCCAGGATTCCCTGCGACGCCCCCGCCA